CTAATATTGCCAATAAACTCCTCAATCACAGAGGAAGAGACGGATAAGTCAGGCTAACACGGCTGGAAAGGAGAGCACTGAAAGCAGCAGCATCTATCAAACTCCCGCTCTTCCAGAAATGTCTTATTTTTGAGATCTGTGAATTTACATGTATCACATGTATCCATTCAATAGTCCTTAACCAAGGGTTGTATCAGAATCTCAGGGAAGTATTTCTAAACACTGTGTCTAGACCTGAGTACCTTTATTCAATCCAAATCTTCAGGGGAGAACCAGGAGAAAAAGCAGGAGGACCAGCTTCGCCATCACTTGCTCCCCACTTACAGCCACAGCCACAGCCCCCGCAGGGGAGCTACACCAGGCTGAGCATGGAAGACCCCAAGGTGAAGGTGTACATGGAGGGCCATGTGGCCACCAGCACAAAAGCGAATGCCCCATGACCTGACCTCACTTGCCCAGATTCTAGAACCTGGGATCCTGGGGTGCTCAGGGCCTGTGGCTTGCTGCCTCCCCTGCCCAGGTGCAGTCACTCAGCTCCCCCTACTGGGTACTGGGTTCCTTCCTCCTCCCACCCATCCCCAGGCAGGCAGCCAGCCCTTGCCATCACTTCACTCCCCGCAAGCCTTCATCTTCTGCAGGCTCTGAGCCTACCACCCACTCCCAGGCACTTCCTAATGGGAAGTTGTTCCTTCTAGGGGAGAAGTGCGGCTGGGAGACAGAGCTCTGCCCTTTCTGTGGGCACTACCTCTAGCCCCTGGCCTTGGCTTTGGAGTTGTTTCCATGGTAACAGGGCTTGATGTGTTGTATTCAGTATACATATTACTATAAATAAAACACCTGTAGCTAGAAAAGACCCTGTATTTCAAATAACTTGTAAATAAAGTCAGTTGAGCTATACCTTGTCTATCGCCTCGATATTTGCATTATAGCGGAGCAGCTTTGCTGCAATTGACGTATCTCCAGCCAAGACGGCGTAATGCAGAGCAGTGTTTTGACAGTTGTCCTCAAGATTTGGGTCAGCTCTGTATTCCAGCAGGACGGTGACACATACTTCTTTCTGGCATTGTACAGCCTGTTGGTATCACGCCAAGAAACAGACTGTAAGTGCTAGGCATTCCAAGTTAACATTCCTCAAGTTCCATTAGTTCGTTATATTTAAAACAGATAAATTCATTTTTATTCTAAGTAAGTACATCGAATCCATCTCACGTGGACATGGTTGGCTGCTACACACCTTCATGAGAGCTGTCTTGCTTTCCTCGTCACGAGCATTCAGGTCACAATCCCAATGTATGAGGAGACTCACCACTGCTGACTGGCCGGTGGTGCAGGCCAAGTGCAGGGCAGTCCTGCGAACATGAGGACTTTTTAGGAAAGTAGAGCGTACTAGTTCAAAGACACAATTACTCACGTAATTGTAAACATTCAACAGCATGCTTTTCCTACCCCTTTAAAACTAACATTTAGTCTTATCTCAGTTCTTTCTACGGGGAAAGAACAATATTTATTAGCTCTTATTATTCACCACATTAATGGAAGAACTACTTGTTTGAATAGAAAGGACATGCCATTGAGATTCAGCTCACCTTGGGTCTGACTTCTACTTTAACACTGTCCCTTATTAGCTCTCACTTAGCCTGTCTGTGCCTCAATTTCCTCATCAACAAAATGGGCATCAAGTAGTAATCTTACAGGACACCGCTGTGATGCTTAAATGAAAAGCTATGCAAAGTGTCTGGCAGTTCCTTGCACAAAATAACAGCTCGATAATTGTTAGATAATGTTGTAACTGTTACCGTTACTATTTTACAAAAACAACATTTCAATTAAGTAAAATGATAACGTATCTACTTTGCTGCTGCAAGGATGAGAGAGAACACTGTACTTCAATGATTCTAACATGCTCATTTTCTCACTCTTCAACATCTCTGACATGGGAAGGCAATTTAAAATTCATGTCTTAAAACCATAGTTGGCAGCTCCTCCCAGGCCTGCCCCGCCCCGTCCCGCCGCTGTTACCTGTTCTTCCTGTCTCTGCTGTCTACGACATTTTTGTTATGTAACAGCAACACCTCCGCTGTGTCCAGATCACCAAAATATGCTGCTTTGTGGAACAGACTTAGTTCGCGCTTAC